TCTTCTCCTTGTACAGCTCAGTAGGCTGTACAAATGGCATCTTTGGCAGTGAAATGAATACCAGTGAGGATAGCTCTGGGGTTTCGGTGATCCCCTAGGTCGACACTGAAGCCCTGAGATGGGCACATGGGAAGGTTGTGTTCTGTGTCAAGGAATGAGTTCTCCATTGCTTTCATTCCAATATTGTTTATTTTCTTTTGGGTTTAGGAATTTTGAAACTTAACCCATCTATTCCCGTGTTTACTCAGGATTAGTGACAGAAATGGAAGGGAGCACAATAAAATGAACCCGTTTTGTTACAGGCTTTTCCGAAGGTGGTGTCAAGAAGTAGCTCAGAATTCAGAGGAGAATTTGGAGGCCTTTTAATTACATCTGTTCAGTGTAGGTAGCCAATCAGGATAATCCATTTTCTTTCCTAAATCCCTCAGGGCCCCGGTAGTCACTTACACACGCACACACGCGCACGCACGCACGCACGCACACACACACACACACACACACACACACACACACACACCCCATTCACACAGCTTGTCACTGAGCAGCTTGAATTGCCAGTTTCCCTGATTACCTAGCTCAAACCAAAAAGCCAACTGTCCTGTCTCTGTTCACATTTTTGTTTTGCAAACAGAATTTATACAAACTGACACTCTTTAGTCCTTTGGCCTTCACTGGAGATCAGCCCTGTGGGAAGCCCTGAGAAAGGCAGATTCTCTGGGGTCCTCAGATGGGGGTGAACCCCGAGGGTGCCCGCTCAGCGTCACTCCTCTCATCACTGCAAGTATTGCATCAAGAATAACGTGTCTGAGTGGTTTGGGTACAGTGACATAAAAAGAATTGCAGGCTGACTGAGACCATCCCTTGTGGGGTTGCAGGATGGAAAAAGGGAGAGTGAGCCGGAGTTTATTTATGGAATGTCAGGGGCCATGATGCTCCACAGGCCCTCGAAGCGCAGGACTACACTCTATGCCTGCTTTCTCCCTCTGACCTTGGATGAACTAGCGAGCAGTATATTATGCTGGGGGATTGTGCTGGTTTGTCATGGTTAGCATTCTGGACTGTCACTGGAATGTAGGAAACGGATGAATTTGAATTGAACCATGAGGTGGTCTGCTGGGCCCTCTCCTCCTCTCAAGGAGACCTGTCGCTGTTTGTCTGGGCCTGGCCTGATGAAAGCAGTGGAGGGAGAGAGAGGTGGGCCTTTGATCTCTTTGTTGCAGCTGCTCCCTGGGAACTTGCTGAAATCAATGCCCTGTTTTCCTGAAGGAATGAATGGCTCTGCCTAACTAGCTTTGTGAAGCCGTGGGGGAATTCACTGCCTCTGTTTATTGACAGCTGAAAAGGAGCACATGGGGTGGAATGGGCCTTCTTGTGAAAACCAGGCACAGGGAAAATTAGACCTCAATTTAACACAGAGGAATTTGGAAATTCACCCCAAAGGAGACGGTGGTTTCTCATGCTTACATTAGAATGACTCGAGTTTGGGGCTAGTGTGTAATGAACAATGGAGGTTCTGTCACAACTATGTTATAAGTAGGGATAGGGTATGCATAATAAATGATGTTAAGTAGAAGTTGATTCAACACCCTTCTTTTTTAAACAGAAGTAGAGAAAGACAAATATTAACCCTGAGATAATCAGGGGATTCTTCTATATATATTTTTTTAGCAGAAAAATTGTGATAAAATAAACATCACTAATATAACTGAGTTTCTAGAACATCCATTCCTGTTTCCAAACCTCTTTGGATTTTGGAGCTGAATTTCACTAGGATAGCTATTCCCGCTGTTTGGGATTGTGTGTTTCTTGTGGGACTATTATGACAATACGTTTATTTTTTAAAACTTATCTTGGGATAGTATAGCTGGCAGTGTGTGTCAGACATAGACGAAACCGCCTCGTAGGCCAGTACAGCCTTTGTCATTAGAACAGTTCATAAATCCTAAAATGACTGGCCTGGCTTTTTAGAACACCACAGGAAAGACTTGAGCTTATCCCAGGGAAACATCGGCATACCTTTTTTACAGGTCTCTTCACTTGCTTGATTTCCCAGGAAGAATTTATGGCTTCTTCCTCTGGCCTCCAGTCCTTTGTGCACACCTCTATTATAGCACTTAACACACTGCCTGGCAGCTCTTTGTTTAGGTGTATTCTTGTAGCTGGAAGCAAAGCAGCTGTGTCGTATTCATTTTTATATCTCCAAGCCTAGCAAAGCTCTTGGCTCTGGTGCTAAATGAATGGGGATTGATAGCTCCCTGTACATTACTTGGAATGTAATTACTTATCCAGGCTTCTCCTGCAAATACTACATTTTCGAAAAACCTGATTGATCTATTGTTACCTGATTGGTACTACTGCTTTTAAAAAAAATTATTTAGTGGAGAAATAGTTAGTTCTTATTGGATTTGCTAAGTTTTGTGCTTCAAAACTTAAGCATAAAAGGTATATGGCATTCTACTCTTCAAACATAAGCGTTCTCTAAATTTTTCCTAAAAATCTCAACACACTGTCGGGATAGTTTCAGTAAAATGAAAGTGTTTGTAATTTGAAATTTGTAGACATTCACTTGACTAGATTTTTTGATTGAGATGGACAGAGCTTCCATTTTACAGTTAAGTCTTTGATGTTAAACAGAATATCCTTTGACAACGTTTTTTCACCAGATTTACCACCACTGTGTCTCAAATGCCTTCTCAACTGAAGGAAATGGCAACTTTTACTGCTGAGAAGTGAGAAATGTAAGGGAAATTTTGATGCTTAAAAAACTTATACTCATTTCATAGGGACTTACCTAGGATAGGTTTAATTTCTGAGCTATGCTCAAGTTAAAATTTACTTCTTTTTAAACCAGATTTTTATGTAAAAAATAGTTGTCAGCATTCTTTGGAAAAAATAACATTTTTAAATGATTATGAATTGCAACAACATGAATTTCTACCCATGGGTATGGGGGGGGGTTATGCTAAGTGAAGTCAACCAGAAAAAGAAAGATAAATGTAGATGATTTCACTTATATGTGAAATATGGAGAAACAGAGTCAGATAAAACCAAACCAATAACCAACCCTGAAATCTGTTTGTAGAATTGAGATTACCAGAGCAGAGGAAGATGGTGGTGTTGGGGGTGGGTGGGAATCGAACTATGGAGGGGGCCCAGTGGATTGCATTTGAGGGCTAGGGTGCCCGATGTTGGGGGGTGTGGTGTGGTAACACAGGTCTGAAAAAGCAATGTGGTTCTGTTCCTCTGAATCATGTCAGGTATTATAGACCAATGCTGTCTCAGTAAAAATAAATGTTAAAATATCATAATGGAAATTTCTAGGAAATGGGGAGCAGGTAAGCGAGTACCCAAGTCCTGGAACCGGCTTTATTTCACTCTCCACACTATCACCAGCATGACTTTGAAAGAACTCTGCTCATATTTCTGGCTTGATTAGAGGCAACAATGAAGTTAAAATACAGGTCTACATATTTGAGTTGTAGCAGGAATCTTGTAGAGGGATGAATGTTCACATGGGCCATGCAGATGTGGTAGATTGAAGAGGCTGTGATTCTGCGGAGATTTGCAGATTTCTTGTGAAACAGGAACGCTGTCATGGCCTTGATCATTGATAGACTCTCACCCCCGTAAGTACTAACTTGTAGATAAGAAAGCCGTAAGCATAGCACTTAGGCCCTCTAACTTGGCTGCTCCGTCCTCCTTGTTTCTGGAAGTAATTTCGTGTGAAATCATACCAAAATAGGGAGGGGGAGGGGATGGGAGAAAAATACAAATCAAACCACAGTTTTCCACTTGATATTTCAGCGTTTAGCCATGAGACATATCTTTGTCCATATTGCTAGAAAGAACTACAACTGTCCCAGGACGTGACTGTTAAAAATGTGTTCTTGCTCTGTTTATAGAATCAAATAAGTTAGCTGACATGATCCCAACCAAAGTGCCTTTTCTCTGGACTGTAGCCTGCTGGAATATCTAGGAATAATTTCAAATCATTTGACAGTCAAATCCTCAAAAACAGTTTCAGGGATCGACATATATTACATCTCTGTATTGTGTGCGAGTGTTTATCTACATAAGCAAACTTCCTAGTAGAAATAGACCAGATACCTCCCTCTTCAACAGTTTCCTGTCCACCCAAACTGACCAAATACAGCAGCGCTAATAAAGGCTTATCTAGTCAGTGAGTGGGAGGCATCTCACGCACTAGACTGAACTGCAGTAAGGACTGCTCTGAAATACAGAATAATTTAAAATGACCTTCACTGGGTAGCTGCTGTCCACATGTTCTGCTCTCCAAGCTGTAACTTCTCATGACAGCCTTGTCTTTGAAAAAACACACTTGGAGTTAAGTAAAGGTGTTTTTTTGTTTTGAGTTTGTGGTTGTGTTTTGTTGACTTTTGGTGACCTTTGTTTGCTCCTTACAATCCTCCATCCTCCCCGCTTTACCCTCAGAGGACTCAGGCATTTCCTTTTCCCAGAGGACTGTGTGCTTAGTTTACACATTTAAGAGATTCTAGTTTCTGCCTGAGGCCGTGAGGCTTTTTTGAGTTGGAGGGGTCACTGGGAAATAACTGCCTATACCTGAGTGCTCCTTGCTAATCTGGGCTCAGGGTTGGGCACTGTACTCAGAGGATCTCAGTGCGTCCTCGGAAGGTCTGCAGGCAGAGGGGATTGTCTCCATTTCACAGGCGAGAAAGCTGAGATATTCACGAGTCGTGTGGGCTTTCGAAGTGGCTCCAGGAGCCACCTGGATTTGATTGTTGGCATCCTGGCACCACAGCTCCTGCACCCCCACCCCCCTCGCTGCTCTTTCCAACACTGCACTCTGTGAGAACGTGAAGGCGTGCCTCTGGAATGCTGGGATACGATGCCGATGCCGTGGAGTGCCGCGAGGGCATTCCTGAACTCATGTTGTGTATATATAAAGGTCTGCTCACATAGTACCATGGTGGTTTTTCTCAGTGCCTTGTTTTTAAACTTTTGATTTTTCCCCCCCTTAGGATTGCTCTTATGTCTGATGTGGCCTCTGTTTCATGTCACATCTAAAAAGCCTCTGTTCCTCAAGCCTAGAAAGGTAAGTGTGTCTCTGCAGAAACGTCTGGCTTCTGCCCAGTTTGCTTTCTGTGGCCAGTAGGGTCTGTGTTCTTGTCTCTTCCATGGTAAAGTAGGTACCACAGCCCTGGCTTCTACCTGGGAGAGAGGCTTATGTGAGGAGAACTCTTGCTGTTGGGGACTTTGCATTTGAAGAACCTCAGAGCCTGAGGGAAAAGGCAATTCTTTGCTCTTCCTTTAGAAAAATCATGAGACTATGCTGCACTGCCATTGATATCGATTCATATCTATTCAGAAATAAAGGGGTGTACTGTACACTCAGCTTTTGTTATCATGGTTAGCTCCATAAAACCTGTGATTTCCCTCCCCTGAAATAAAAAAAAAAAATGTTTTTCAAGTTTTTTTCTCAACAGAAAAATACCAAGGGACAATTTGGAATGTGAACCCCCATTTAGAATCTCATTTAAATATTACATATATTGCAATTCAGTCTCCAAACCAAGCTTCTGAAATGATTCTCAGTTTTTATGGGTTCTGTCCAAACTTCCTAATGTTATGAAATAGGTGTGCCCCTAAAGTCAGTGTCTGAGGGAATTTGTGATCAGCAGAGAAACCCCCATACTTATCAGACGCTTTATCGTCCTTCTCCAATGACATGTGGAGATGATTTGTTTAAACTGCCTGTTACAAAATGGCGATTCTTAACTCCAGCCTTAAATTCTATAGCCAATATTTGGGTTGTTTTCTCCATAATGTGTATGTAATCCCCACTTAATCAAGTCCATTGTCTTCACCTCAGAGCGACCCTCCTGACCCTCCCTTCGCACAGAGAACCTCCCTTCCCTCATGCTAATGGTGTTGTTCAACCATAACCCTTGGCCTCTGCATTCTTCTGTAAAATGTCCTTAACTGTAATATGCCGTACTTTTTAAAATTCCAGTTTCCTTTGTAAGTTTTTTTTTTTATATTCCATCGAACACTTGAATTTTCCCCCTAAACTTCTCAGATAAACCACTTCCTAATTTATTTTACTCATTAGGCTACTCATAGTTGCCCCTGGTAAAGGCCAAAGTGAAGAGTACACTATATGTGCATGTTTAAATTCAAATTTTCAAAATGGTTCTAGCTAAAGTAGTTCACTTCCCTCCCCCCCAACACAGTCAAAAGGAAAAATCTAGTATCATATTCACCTCTGTATATCATGTGTGATCCCTGTAAGCGCCATTCACGCCAGGCCCATTTGTAATAGTTTTCTCTGTTTAAATGTGACACATTATAAAAGCACAACAAATTCTATTACACTGCTTAAGAATGTATGTATCTTTCAAATACATGACATACAAAGCTTTGAAGGATGCAGGAAATGGTAGAAATTTCCTTTACAAGCACATGTTAGGAAATGGAATTGTATCATGATGATCCAAATTAAAGAAAGATTACTGAAGTGAATCAATTTATATTTTCTGTTACATAGATATATTTACACCTATATATTGTATTCTGAAACAAGTTATTACTATTTCTTAATTTTGAACTTACCTAGTATGTGAAATCATTCTTGGTACTTCAACAGACTGTGTCTACTTGATACATCTGCATGTACAATACACACTCTCATCACAGCTCTGAATGATAGAGAAATTGGGGAACTCACCTAAGATTATAGACTCAGCAAGTGGCAGAACCAGTGGATGGTCCCAGCCCCATCTGACCCCAGGCCCCTTCTGTACCGCCCCAGCTTCCTTGGGTTGCATCTAGTAGAGCTTTTGTTGTTTGGCTAATGGTTTTAACTAGCTTTGGGACACAGCCTGGCACAAGGAGAGCATACGCCTCACATCCCAGACTGAGGAAGAGCAAAACACATTCTTCACCACTTTTAGGTAAGAAAAGTTCTCACCAAAGAAATGTTATTGAACTTCCTTTACTTCCTGACTCCTGGACAAACCAGCAGTTAAAATGAATGTAGTTGGGTGATGAAGGGACTTGGATGTCATAATCCAGAAGAGTGTTAAATGTTGTTAAAATTAGTCCATCACGTTTCCTTATCAGTATGTTTAACATAACACTAGAAGTTCTATGCATATTTATACTGTAACAAAGGGGACTTTATTGGGGGAATAACTTAATTGATCCATGACGTGGCATTTACCAAGGTAATTTTTTCCCTTTTTTTTTGTTGACAGACATAACAACAGACATATACAATCAGCATGTAAATCATAGCCACACTAAGATGATGATTGCTTTCTGTTGCTTCCCTATAGTGCTTAGCATCTACCCTGCATAGTAACTCAGTCTGTTAAGGGTTGTTTGTTCTGATTCTGGAAGGACAAAGAACTTTTCTGTGAAGTTACATGTATTCTTTCTGTGTAGCATTTTGTGTTTTTTGGTTTTTGTGGTCTTTCCACCAACAAGGGAACTCCTGCTTTACTGATTTTTAATGTGTATAATGGATAAAGCTGGAAGCATAGGCTGGACATCTAAGGATGATTTCTGTAACACGAACCTGAGCGCATTGCTCTCATGATTAAAACCTTCTATGGTTCTGATGAATCAGGACTCTTGGTTGCAATTGACAGAAACTCATGAGACCATTGATGAATTTCCTACAGCCAAGTGACAGGAACACATTTGAATGTTAGAGGAATCAACTAACAGCAGCATTGTAATTAGAATAAAGGAAAGTCACTCCAAAAACAGATGGAGGAGTCAGGCTGGACTTCTATCTCCAGTCTGTAGAAATGTCGCTTTACACAGACCTGCCTTGACGTGCTCATGGGTGGTGGCGGGATTTTTTTTTTTAAAGATTTATTTATTTACGCATACAAAACTGGGTACAAGCCAGAGAGAGGTTCAGGGGTGGTGAGAGGCTTCACCAGAGACAAGTGGGGAGCAGAGCAGGCAGATCAACGAAGTACACTGCTGAGGGGAGCAGCAGGCGGGTCAGGAGAGGTCTGCCACACCATGTGGATCACCCTTGGGGCCGGGGATCGAACTTGCACTGAAGTGGTTGCGGCCAGCTTGCAGAGCTTCATCCTAACCTGTTGCGCCACCAGGGAGGACCGGTGGTGGCAGGTTTTGAGGAAGCCCCATGAAAACTGTTTTTTGGGCCAATAGAGTGGCCTACTCTTCCACTCTCCACTACGCTGCCTCCTCCCCAACCCCACCCCACCGCCCCAAGTTCAGGACCACTGTGGATCAAAATGGATCCTCCTGTGCATGGCTCTCAGGTTCCGTGGCTATCGCTATGGCTCTGGATTTCAGCAGGGCCTTCATGAGCCTCATGGAGGGAAGGTCTCAGCTGTTTAAATACCACAGAACCAAAATGAAACTTGCTTGGAAGACACGACTGACCTAGTCAGGGCTGCCTTAGACATTTCAGTTGGGGCCAGAGTGGTTACTGCCCTATCTTTGAGCCAACAGAGTCATCATGTTGAGGATTTATTTCCTATCTCCTGAGGTGGAGTCACCTCTTCCACAGGTACCTCTGTTTTTGCACTGTCGTTTCCATCTTGTGGAACCTACAGCCCCAGTCCCTATCCAGCAAGCTGGTCCAGGAGGCCTGTCCAGGCTGGGGCAGCTAGGATGCCCAGTGCCTTGGGATTATCAGCTCTGGCCCCCTTGTCTAGTAGGCTTCCATTTTTTTCTTTTGGCTTCAAGCAATTCAGAGTTTAAGATAAAGGTCTTAAAGATAACTTTCTCTGCCTCTCCCTTTCTAGGTATTTGCATAGGAATCAGAGGCATTAATCTTGTGAGTAAACTTTTAACATCTGTGTCTGTTTCCTTCCTTCCTTCTGTATCTGCCCTGGAGTTCTAAAAGCACAGGACTGCCTCCATGTCACCAGTGCCTTTAGAATCGAGTGTTCTCTCTGCAAAAGGGGGTGGCCCTTTTTGAAAAGTAATGAGTTCATTCTAGCTTGGAATGCAGTCGGTACCCTAGATGCAGCCTGGGGTCCCTACATCTCTCGGAGGCATCTCACAAGTCTGAATCTCACACCACAGACTCTGCCTTCCACATTGTGGGAGATTTCAGATTTCAGCTCGCATTGTGTCTCACCCAGGGGGTGCACCTAGAATCTGGAGATTTCCCTGGTACCTGGTAGGTGAGGGTCTGGCCTCAGGCCTCTGGTCACAGTAGTGATTTCTTGATTGATTTCTGCATCTCACTGCCCCAGGGCGACACATTGCACCTGCAAACTTCTTGCTGCTGGGCCCCTCCCTGAGCAGATCCTCAGGGCAGTGGCCCTGGCTGGTGCACAGGCTGCTGGAGAGCCAGAGCTGAAGGAGTGCCCTCTTGCTGAGCTGAGGGTCAACAGCTCTTTTTCCTTTGCAGATCAGGATGGGGGAGGTGTGCCTTTCTGATCCACCCTCTCCTTCAGTTCCAGAAGTTGGGCAAAATCTCATTTGGTGTGGATATTAACAATGGCAGAGTGCTTCTGCCATCCTCTGGGCTAAAACACAGAATTACAAAGCCTGCCACCTGTTTTAAGTGAGTTAGGAAGGAAAACGATTGGGAGGACAAAACAAAATCCCAGAATTGTCCTGGCTGATTTGGAGGCTGTACTGATCCTGCAGGCAAAACATCACCCAAACATTGGTAACTATGGAAACAAAGAGAAGGAAACATTTGAAAGACAATAAGCTTGCAGAATCTGTATAGCTTAGTCAGTGAGAAAAATCTAGTATGACTCCAGAGTTTCTGACTTGGGGGAAGCTGGGAAGTGACATGGTGAAGAGACTGACCTATTAATAACGCGGACTTTCAAATCACACACTCTGAATGCAAATTCCAGCTCTGCTGCTGGCTGGTTGTGTGAACACCAGCAAATTAGACTCACTCCGCAGCCTTAGGCTCCCTGTAAGGAAAATAGGGTTAGTGCTTCCTACTCAGTGGTTTTTTTGAGGGCTTTAAAGTGATTAAAACAGTGGCCATCCTCAGGTCAGCCCCTCCCCTACCAGGCTGCATGGAAATCTCCAGGTCCTCACACCACCTCCTCAGGTAGAGGACTTATCCCCACCGTGCTGTCATCACAGTGGGGCTGTTGGGGAAGTAAGTCAGGGGCAGCTGCGTGGGGCCCCACCATTAGCTGACCTTTGGGGGCACTGTGAGATACCCAAGCTGAGAAGACCTAAGAAATGGACTCATCTGGAGTTTGAATGAAAATTCAGGTTTGAAGGCAGAGATTAGGGCCATTGCTAACATCCAGAGGGCATTGAAACCTTAGGTTGTAAATGATTTCCCCAGGGGTCGTTTGAGAAGGTAGAGAGTCAGCTGTCAGACCAATGTGCAAGCTTCAAGCAACCCTTTTGTGACCCACCCTCAACGTCATCTTTAAAACAATGCAGTTTTGAGACCAATCTGGACACCCCAGTTAGAGTCCCCACTTCAGGGGTATAATCTCACTGTACGCTGTGATCCACCTCACTGCAGTGAGCTTTAGTTGGCCTGTAATCTACCAAATTGGTGGGCGCCTTTCCACTGGAATTACAGCCCTTAGGAAATTAAAGAAAAACTTTATTTGCGAGGCTTGTACATGTTCCATGTGGAGAAGCCTTTTGCTCAAACCGAGGCGCAGTGTAGTGCAGTGCCCGGCCCCTTCCTTCCCACTCAGATCCTCAGCAAAAGTCAGTTTAAAGACTTTGCTTACACAAAATCAGGAGTAACTAGAAGTGAATGAGCTGCAACTGGAGGGAAATGGCCTTTGTTCAGCTGAGGTTTCAGTGAATGCTCAGCAGGCAGCTAAACCAGTTCATTAACAGAGAAAAGGACGGTTCTGAAATGCTGCTCTCAGAAGCAAATACCCAGAAAAAAACATACGGTGACAGCAGAAATGCATCCTAGAAATTGTATGCTGTGGACCCACGAAACTTTACTTTTTGTCATCCACGAAAAAGAGATCATTTCCCCCAAAGCATTTCCTGTTTATTTAAAACAATTAACTAAAGCCAATCTGTTGTTCCTCTCCCCCCCACCAAAAAAAAGATATTTCTTGTTTTCTTGTTACTCTGGATCTATGAAACATCTGTGTTTAGGAATGTTTATTGTTATGGGGTCATTTTTTTTATGAGGCCCCCTTTTCCCCAAAATAATTGACATATTAAAACGTTGTTCTCTGATTCTGAAATCTAAATTCTGACGTGGAAAGCAGTCTACGAGTAGTACCCTGTCCAACTTAGATGTGCTGTTCTGCCCGTCTCTCCTCTGCTTTATTAAATTGTTGTACAGTGCACATGATTTTCTCCTCCGGGGCCAGGCCCGCTGTTAGGCTCTGCGCCGCATTGTTAACTATTTAAATGTTACACTGGTGCTGAGATGGCAGGTGGGGAAGGCGGAGGGATTTGATCTCCTCCCTGCCAGAGTTCTCCTCTTTCACGAGTGCTGCTTACATTGAACAGCTTAAGAATAAGCTCCTGTGAGCCCTGGAGGCCAAGGAGTATTGTTGAAATCAGAAAGGAATAGCTTTCTTTTGGTGATCATTTGAATATTTTGACAATGAAGCCCAGCTACTCCACGGCCTGTTTTGCGTACTTCATGTCATGTGTCCTTTCTAGTGAGGCAGCAGGCTGCCCCCACCTCTCCTGAATTCATAAATTGTGATTGTCCATTGCTGAGATGTGCAGGAGCAAAGGAAGAATCATCCAAAAGAATTTTACTTTCATGTTTTTTAAACGCTCTTAAAAACAAACAAGCCTGAAACAGACTTCTGGAGACTCCTCCATGAAACCACCATGCTAAGGGTTGGGTATTTTGAGAAGGTGGACAGTGATGATTTGTGAGTTATTTATTCATGCAAAGCAAGGAATACATTTAAAACAAATTCTCCCAACGATTCAGTGAACCTATTTGCATCTAGTTTTATCCTGAATTGTGATGGGTTATTTTAAAATAACATTAGTTTTTACATTTTTAACTTAAAAAGATCTCATATAAAATAAATGGACATAGCCTCCCACTCACACACACGCCCCTTTAAAAAAAAAATAAGCGGAGAAAGCAGTCAACCAAGTGAATAAATCGCTTAGGTGAGATATAATTGGCTTTGTTTCATAATAGATTCACCTTTGGACTGGTTAAGAAAATCCTGAAAAGCTTTCCCCCTAAGAGGATTGACTGGTTTAGAATGGTCTTAGTGGGAAGAAGCCAAGTTTTATCATTAATTGGTGAACAAAGATATGGGTTTCCAAATGCTCACAGGGATCAATGGTACAAAGCTGGCTGCAGACAGGTCCTGAAGTCTTGGTCCAAATGTAATTCCCTGGTGGTTTTTTTAAAGGGGCCCCAGCGACTGCTTCAGTCGTTATAGTTTGGACTGTGACCTAGGAATCTATTTTTAAAAGACTTGCCTGGTAATTCTGGTGCATAGCCAGGTTTGGTAACCACTGATTTGTGTATTCTATTTGGAGATTGCAGACTTTTCACCCTGCAAATTTGATAATCCTATAGGTTTATAGGATGCTTTTGTTGAAAATGAATGCCCACTGGCTATTGCTGACTTTTCCATTCATAATTTGTTTCAGGTTCTGTTATTGCATAGATTTGCATACCTATATTGTAGCGCTCTAATACTGTTAGCTTAAAAAAATACCATTTCTTCTCAATGCTATTTTGAATATTTTATGTAAGCAATTTCACGTGATTCTTCTTTTTTTTCTACTTGCAGAAAGCAGGGGAAAACTTAAAGGTTTTTCTAATCCAGTTGCAAGTAGGACAAAGGATATGATATAAATACTTAAAGATCCTCTTGGACAAGATTGTATGAGTTATTGGAAGTCTTTTAAGTTATAACATTATGACCTTTCTCGCACTTTTTAAATATATCGAATGATCTAAGTGTTTAAAGACTTTCGTCAGTTGGCATATCTGAGACACTTTCAGATTATGGGTGGTGGGTCTGAGGAAATATATAAAATCAATTCATTGTCTACTATAATGCATGCAAAGGCAGTAGGAGATCTCTATACATCGTGTGTCTGCTCTTGAAGCAAAGCTCAATTTGCGACATGTTTGGGGAGGGGTGTCTTTATAATTTCCTTCATTGAAGATGTGTAAGATCTTTTCTTACAGATTTGACTCCTCAAGCAAACGTCTGGGAGGACCCTGCGACCAGGAGCATCTCGTAGCTGTTTCCTGTCACCGAGAAGGTACGACAGTAATAACAGCTCTTTCAAATTATTTTTGTCAGAGCATATTTATTATCCACTGCCAGAAACAGTAATATTTAGTCAAGAACGGGCAGGAGGGCCGATGCTTTAAAAAAGTTCATATAGAATAAATATGTTTCCCCTGCAAACTGCAAAATACCTCTGAAAAGAGTTCTGTCACCTTTATTTTTTGAAAGCATCTTCTGTTAGATGAGGCAGTTAGCAGCTTTTCCTGTCCTCTGCTATCCTCTGTCCACATCCTCAATAATGCCTGCAGCCCTATATGCATTTTATTGGTTAACCCTGTCAGTTCAGAAGCTCTCAAGCTGCCCTAACTGCCCTCCTGTGTACATCCATGTGTAAATGTTGTCCTCTCCTTTGAGGGAGATGTGGCGAAGCCTAAGAAAGATGCTAGTCACATACCCGTTGCTCTGGGCAATCCAGCGACTCCCTCTTAGGTGTTACTTGGAGATGGGGCAATAAGAGCTGCTTGTGAAGGCTGCTGCGCCTGCTGAGAGGATGGTGAGGTGTAAATGGAAAGACACTGGGCTTAGCTAAGAACAGCTGGGTTTGGCCCCGGGTCATCCTGACTGAAGTGGTCAGCAGTACTATTGGTGGAAGCCCTCACTCTTTGGCTGCTCAGTGGTCCAGGCACTTGGCTTTGCAAACTCTGTCATCAGCAGGATCCCATGAGCCAGTGCTTGTGAGCCAGGAACTGAAGTCCTCAGAGCCTCATTTTCTTCATTTCTTAAATGGGGATAACAGCCTTATAGAACTGTCACTTGGAAATTATTAGATAAAATGGCACGAGCAGGCTTTAGGAGTTCAAATGAAATGTACTTCACAGCTTTTATTTTCATTTGCTTTGAAATACACCATTTTACTAAAATCAGATTTTGATCCATTGACCAAGAAGTTGCAGTTCCTTCCAACATGGCTGACATGCCTACTTGGCACTCAGGAAGTCACGGACAGTGGACAGTTAATGAGGCGAGGATGGGGGGATCTTGACGCCATGTTGCCACGTGATTGACAGTAGATAACCAGTCAGATTATGGAATGTGTCTGCCCAGGATTTGTTGGGGCGGCTGCGGGCTGAAGACAGGTAGTGGGTGGCTGGGGCACCAGGCAGTGTGTCTGTCTCAGGAGCTGCCTGGGTCAAGTCCAGACAGGAGGAAAGCACAGTCTCGGCACAAGAGGGAGGGAAGAAGGACCTGATTCATCGCTCTGGGCTGCTGGGAAGAGCAGCAGGCATGCTTACTGGCAGCAAGGTGCCTGTCCCCCCAGGGGGACAGCCGCAGAGAGCGGCCACGGGAGCCTGGCTGTGGATGGCTGGGGGACAGACCACACATGTGGACGCTGGGCTGGCTCCTGAGGGAGGCACATCCCTCCCCACTGCACTGGGTGCGGTTGTGATGGTTTGTTAAGCAAACAAAGGACTTAAAGCTTTGAGAGGGGGAGAGAAAATACTTGAGGTGAAAAGTAGAGGAGGCCTCTCCCCTACATCCTTAGCACTCTTACCCCCTTTCAGAGAAGCCAGCACAGTGCTTGGAAAAACTACCTCCTCTCCAGTGTGCTTTTAAAATTAGGAGACCTGGTGTGCCCCTCCTACATTTAAATAGAAAAAAAAAAAAATTACAGGCCAATGACATCTTTTAAGACAAATGATTAATATTTTTACTTCTCAAATTCAGTCTTTCTAGATGAACAATTCACTTAACATCACTTGAATTTACATTGACTGGCTGTGAGAGGGAAGGCAAGGAAAGCATTCTCTTGACTACCTGAGTCATAATTTCGTCTCGTAAGCAAGGACCCCTGGCCCGGAGTGGGCCGGTGTGGGCCTGGGGGCCAGGGCAGCGCTGCTGTGGCCTCCATGACCATGAGCACAGTTTGCTCTAAGTCCTGGCTACTCTCCCACTGAAAAAGAGGGAAATAAAACAGTACAAGTTGTCACTTAAAATTGCCAATCACATTTGTAACCTACTGTAATCAGATTTGGTCTTGGGTCAAGAAAGCCTCGCTGAAGGCCTTTAGGGTTTCAGAATAATACTTTTAAAACCTGCCTTTCCTCAGGGCTGAGTTGTCCATGAGGGAAGGACAACGATTCCGTGTAGCTTTTTGTCTCTGTAAATAAGTTGATGAAACAGCCTTTCATGGGCTACCTAGTTTCTTCTAGAAAACCAAGGATTCTTAATACCTCAGGGGAGTGGGGCGGGGGGGCGGAGAGAGGGGAGTGCCTTGCTGGATCCATCACCCACTAGCCCCTACACTCACCTGCATGCCCACCAAACTGCTGGCAGCTCCCACACCACCCTGCGCTGGCATCACCTACACTTCTTCGTCCCGCTTGTCTACCCCGTTCTTTGCGGCTCAGTCTTGGTGGCCATTGTCAAGTCCTACAAAGGACACATATTCACAGGGGACAAACAAAAGTGCTCTCTAATCCTGCCACCCAGGGGGACATCGTTGAGTGTCTGTCTGTCCCTTCGGCCTTTTTCTTTTCTTGCTGATTTTCCCATCTTTTTGTTTCAGGATCAGATAGTCCGCCCAAGTCTTTGAGCATCTCTCCAGATCTCATAGAATTTTTAAGGCTCCTTCAAGAGATTTTCACTCACAGATCTGCCTTCCCATCATCAATCTGTGGCTAGGATGTTTTCCTATTTCTTGTCTCAGTGTGAGTCTTTACTGTCACACACTTCCTGGGAAGGAACCAGGCTTTTCTTTTGCCTAGAATGGTAACTGTATGAGGACAATAGGCCTGCGCTAATTAGGTAAGTTTGGTTCCTCCCTGCCTCGCTCTTAAGAGTCTCAGGGAAAGAGATCACGCTGTCCGCTTAGAAGCAAACCCTGGAAGGGCCCAGGGCGACTAGCAGAGACTTTGTAGGGAGGGAGGAGGGGGATATATTTTCAGCTGTCACAAAGGAATAGCTCGTCACTGACTCTAATGACGAGAAAATCTTCTCCTAATAGGAAGGCTCTTGTCTGGGTTTCGGGGTTCTCTACCCTCAGCCCTCCAGGCCACCCAGAGTTCTTTAATAGTCTCAAGCTGAACAGTTCAGCTTGAGAGCCGGTCCCTACTGACTTCCCACTTGTGTCTCTGGGTGCACACACCTGTTTTGCTTATTGGCAGACATTTGTCTTCCTAAATATTTAATTTTCAGGGCCCTCCCTGGTGGCACAGTGGGTTAAGGTGCAGCACTGTGAAGCTGGTCACAGCGGCTTCAGTGAGTTCAATCCATCCCGGGGGAGGTGACCCACATGGCTGGGAGAACTCTCCTGACCCACCCAGTGCTCCCCTCAGTGGGATACTTGGTCGGTTGACCTGTTCTGCTCCCCACACTGTCTTTGGCCTGGACCCCAGTTCTGTATGCATCAGTAATAAGTTTTAAAAAAATTCTTTAAAACAGTTGTATTTCAGAATACACTGTATGTAGTTGAGGGGGAAGGGGAGATTTAGGAAGCTGTAAAGATGTTTCCTTCCTTCCTTGCTGCCTGATGGCCATTACTTGGAGTGGTCCGTCTCTGCCTGTGGGTTCCTGGGCTGTGCAGTCCCGCTGTTTCTAGGTGAAGGAGAGGGCCCTACCTCAGAGCCTGAGCACAGCTGTGGGGGGGTGGGGGGCACCCTCCTCCCTCTAGTTTTCAAAGGCCTTTTCTCAGGAAGTGTGGCCTCCCTCAGTGGCCTGTGGCTCCTTGAGAGTCATATTCCTGGAATTTGAGCTACAACAATGCCTTGTCCATTGCTTTTGAGGGCTTCCTCCCAGGAGGTTGGAGACAGTTTTATTGGCATTCTCTACCTGTCCCCACCTCCGGTGCAGCGGGCTGGCTAGCCTGGACCACAACTACTGTACACTTAGTAACAAAGGCTCCCATCTGAGAACAGCCTGCCTCAGCAGAGTACAGTGGGCAGCCAGACAGTGGCTAGAGGCTGACTGTTTTGTTTATAGCATGGTAAATGACTTTGGGGCATATTACCAAGTTTTGTTTTCTTTTTGAGTGAAGATTTCTCATTTTGCTCATTTTTCTGTCACCATACACTTCTCACGGCAGTCTGTCACTCCAGAGAAGCCAGGGGACTGTAAGGTGGAAAGTTGCTTCTGCCCTCTGAGCCCCCATGTTACAAGCCCTCACAAGCCTGTTTCCATGCTGTTTCTAGTGCAGAGTAGATAGCCTCAGGGAGGCTCCATCTAACTGCAGCCTGCCACAAAGAAAACAAATTCCTCCTCACCCCCAGGAAACCCATGGTACCAAACCACCCACCCAGGGGAGGACAGACATTGGTGATCTGAGAAGATCATGTGAGCTGACTGACAGGCTCTGAGACCACCCACATAGAACTCTGGTGATTTATAAAGTCACTTACAGAAACCAGAATTCTGAACGGTGTCGTCCACTTTCAAAGCCAGAGGAGAGCATTCCCGACTTTGTCTAGAGAAACACCTCAGCTCCTCTGTGACATAGTCTCCTTGCTGGCTGATAACTGGTGGGCACTCAACTCAACCTGTCTAAAAGCGCCCAACTCTTGGGTCACAGTGGGTTTTTGCATCTGAGACTCCTGCTTCCACCACCTTTGCCTCCTTGCTCTCACCTAAACTAAACCCTAATCTAAGTAGTCTGTTGACAGTGCATCATTTCAGCCTGCCCTCTCTTCCTTCCCAGGCTGTTATCTCTTCTGAGATATGGCAGAAGCTGAAAAGCTCTCATTATCCCTGGTCCCACCACTCAGCAGTGTATCTTAATGTTCGTGCCAAATTGACTAATCCTGTGATCTGACACATTCGTTGCTTAGAATGGATTCCCTGGGCCTGGCTTCCTGGTGGTCCTGCCTCCTATAGATAAGCTCCTCTCAGACTAGTGGCTCTTTGAGGCTTAGATTCCTGCACACATGCCTTTTCCATTGATTCGTCCCATTCTTGTTGAGACAATGTGTTATTCACATTCTGTATCCAACTTCTCTTCATCCCCCTTACTCCACCTCCACACCACCAGGGGTAATGGGT